TTGAGACTCGGTATTTGCCTGAATAAAAATCAGTAGTCCAACTGTAGTGTAAAAAGACCAAAATGTTTTTCACTGAAACAGCACAACGATAAAATGCTGCCAAAGCAAATGTCACTTATCAAGGTTCATGCTCAATAATCCAGGTGAAACATCCAATAAAGTTCGGTCAGGTCAGCTGGACTGTTTATGTTTTGTTGAGAGACATTTCGTCATTCATCCAAAGGACTTCCATCAATCCGAGGAGCCACAAACAAACTGTGTCCAACAAGCAGCACACTCCCATAGTGGACCAACCAGTTTGATGGTGATACGATGGTTTCTTGGGGCCACCCTCTCCCCTGTCGACTCCTCCCAGGCAGCCATGCCAAAGTGGTTCAAAACATCAAAGTTCATGCTCAACAATCCAATAATCTCAATAATCATATTGATGAAGACCTTTGGATGAAGGATGAAATGTCTCTCAACAAAAGAAGAAACAGTCCAGATGTTTGCAAACTTTGTTGCAAATGTCATGATCTTGATTAAAACAAACTGACAACTGATTGGTTGATCTTTTTATACTTCCTAATGTGCATGCGTAAAGTCTGGTACCATGTGCTCAAACGAGTTCATGGCTCTTTGTGGTATTCAATTTTGTTCTTCAACTCTAGCCCTTTGGTTCTTACACGTGTTTTATTGACTTTTATATACAATCATATTTATAAATTTACTTTTGGGTTATTTTACAACGTGAGAGTGAAATTTCTTCAAGTTGCAATGTTGCTAGAATGACTGCTGGTCACAGCTGGAATATAGACATGAACACTGTTAGACCAAGTTTTTGTTGATAAAAGTGAACGCAAAAAAAGGTATATCAAAATTAATTCGTTGTTTGTGTACATCTAATGCTTATTCCCTGAAAGTTTCATTGAAATTAGATAAACAGACTTGACTTCAAATTCTTAATCTCAACATTTTCAAAAAAGATCTAAGCTGTTAACTCTAAAATTATGTTTTGGGATCAGACTCTGTTACCACCACAAGTTTCAGGTCAATATTTAGAACATTGGCTGAGTTATGTTTTATTTTTTCCCAAGGGCATCTGGCTGTGGCAGCCATCTTGATTTGGATCAGTCAATTATTAATTGACTTTCAAGAATTTCTTTCTGACGTTTTGATTAAATTTCATCCAGTGCTTTATGAAATAGTTCTCAAAAGACAGGCACAAGCAATAAAAAATTTTTGGTATAAAATAAGCATTATTACTGTGTACGAAAAGCTTTTATACATGCTCGTTTTTCCAAGTAAAACTAGAAATGTGCATGGCTTTGAACAGATTATCTTTCGTTTTTCGTCCTAAGACCAAGAAACCTCAGCAAATTGTCATGCATAATAAAATTTTAAAAATAAATAAACCACATCAACAAATTAGTCTCAATAGCTGAATAGCCACAATGCATCAAAAACCCAATAGATTGTGCAACCGTATACAGTAAAAAAATAAAAAATAAAATACAAATTAAATACTCTATATAGACCAAGGGGCAATTCTTGATTGGGAGTTAGTTTTTGAGTTCATGGCAACTCCCTGCAGGCAAGTAAACTTCACTTGATTTAGATGCAGGGTGCTGGACATCAAGGAATGCAATGCTTCAAAAAAAAATCTGCTACTTCATTAGCAATTAAGTTATTAATTAGCAGCATGTCAAATACACAGAACTTGTATGGCATAAAATATATAAACAAGCCATATTTGCATGGATAATCTGTTCATTTTTTAATACATAAATAATTGCGCTTTGTCATGTATGGGGTGTGCATGTACAGTATATGAGTGGTTAGAGCAGTCGTCCTCCAATGCAAGAGTTGGGGGTTCGATTCCACCAGCAGACACATGCTGTAGTGTCCCTGGGCAGGACACTGAATCCCTCACTGCCTCCGATGTGTGTCCCATTGGTGTATGAATGTGATAAGGCACTGATTATTCATTGTTCAGAAATATTAGAGTGCTGTCATGAATGGGTTTCAGATTCAAAAAGCCAAACAGGAGTGCAAAAACAAGAACAGTTTTTATTAATTTGGCTCCTGGTTGCTGGAGACAGGGTCCAAGGCGGGAGTCCAATCTTCTTAGTCCGTACGTGGCAGGTGAAATCCAGATGCGTGGTCCAATGGTCGTAGCGGGGATCAAGCACGGGGGAGCAGAGAGTAGATACCAAAGCCAAATCGTGATCCTTTATCGTGAGTGTGTTGGGAGAGCAGAGTAATTTCCCATGGTCAGAAAAGTAATCAAATCTGAAAGAGTCAGGCAAAGCGAGGAAACCATGGCACAGGCGTGAGGTCAAGCAAAACAAGGCAAGGCAAACAAGTCTGTGGCAAGAAACTATGGAACAATGATTGCTTCATAATCAGGGACCATAGAAGATTTAATAATTCGGCACTGGTGGGTTGTGGACATAGAACTTATAAAGGGCAGAAAACAGGTGGCTGATATGAATGCTGATTGCAGAGGGGGCGTGATGCTGAATGAATGGAGCAGGGTGAACAGGTGCATGGGAAGAATACTGATGACTGTGGAGAAAACAAGAGAGGCGTGGCATGGAGTGAAGGGAGCAGGCTTGAGCTGAAGAATGGGTGATAGACAAAACACAGCAGGGAAACAGAAACTATGGCATGAGGGGCAGAAACTATGGCAGGTGACATGGGCAGGAGAACACAAAGCATGAAGGCAGGATGGGCAGAACCATGGCATGAGGAGCAGTGACATGAGCTGATGAGGGGTCAGCGGGGGCCACTGATCATTACAAGTGCTGTATAAATGGATAAATGAGGGCACAGATTGTAAAGGAGTCAGCCTCCCCTCCATCACAAACATCTACACCTCCAGATGCAGGAAGAGGGCCACCTGCATCATGAAGGACCCCACTCATCCAGCACACACTCTTTGCCCCGCTCCCCTCAGGAAGGAGGTTGTGGAGCATTAAATGCAGAACCACTAGACTGAGGAACAGCTTCTACCCTGAAGCTGTTAGACTCATAAATCCCTAACCAGGATAATCACTGTGGAAAAAAAAAATCACTGTAATGCCACTTTGATTGGTGACATGTGCTGCTGATGGTTCATGCTGCTGATTATTTCATGCTGCTGATTATTTCATGCTGCTGTATTCATTCGTACTCATTTACTCACACAGGCTCATGTTTGTGCTGCTGTTGTTTGGCGTATTATTTTGCACTACAAGTGTTTAGCATATTTCTTTAGCGTATTTCTTAGTTTATATCTTAGATCCTTATTACTGTTTCTTTTACAATTTTTGCTATTGTTGGATGTAACTGTACACAATTTCGTTCCACCTCATGTACCATATTTGATGCAAATGATAATAAAACCCACCTAAAAACTTAAACTAGTGTAAAGTGCTTTGAGTGTCTTGATAAGATGGAAAGGTGCTATACAGTCCATTCACCATTTATCATGTACCATGGGGCATTACCCTGTCACTCAATGGGAGAACTCCACAAACACTAGCCTGTTGACTCTTGATTTGATTAGGTCCAACTTTTAATGTTATTTTACCACTTCTCCTTGACATATATTCATATGCAGGCAGTTCCTCCCTAACTCGGGTCGTTCTATGTAAGATCCTGATGAACTTCTCCCCAGTGCAGATTATTATTAACAGTGTAGATTATGCACTCTTCAGGCAACACATGATTGTTTCATCTGGGCGGCTGCTGTGAAATGATCTCATCTGTAGCAGGTAAAGACAATGTGGCACTGTTTTGTGGTGGTGTGGCCATGCAGAAGTCATCAGGTAAAGTGTTCACACTGGTAAATTCTATCCTAGTATTATCAGTTCGGTGCCTGCCTTGATTTTTGATCAAGTTCTCTGATTAACATGACGGGAATGACATGAATAACACATTTCATGGGTTCTGCCTGATTGGACATATTAGATTTGTTGGTTGGTTCTCACCACTTATTGCTCAGCTCCTGAACCAGAATTTAGTGCTGCCATCTACAGTTCCAAATTTAGAACTAAGGTTCAATTGGTCTGTTTGTCAGTTATTCCTAATGAAATAGGAACAACTCTTAGTGTAGGAACATTTTTAATCTTTGCCACAGAATGGTTATTTCTACAAAATAATTTTAAAAT